CATGGCGTCTCTCATATGCTGCTGGGGGACACGGTTAAATTCTGTGTTTTATAATTTCCCAAAAAATTTTCTCAGAAAGTCCACACAAATTTGGTGTCTACGGACTCGGCATCGTCACGCTGAGGTAACATATGTCCACCCCAGGCTTTTCTAAGTCGTTCCCTTCGGAAAGGGATGCCATCGTTAAACATCCTCCGAGGGCCTGCCTTGCTGCGACGAAAATTTTTGTCAAAGTCCACAAATTGGGTGGTCTACGGACTCGGCTCGTCACGCTGAGTAACATATGTCAGCCCCAGCCTCTGAGTCGCTCCCTTTCCGAAGGGCCGCATGGGTCATCTCTCATATAACATGAGGGCCACACCACTAAGACTAGTGTGGAATGTCAAACGGAAAAAGTTTGTCCAAGTCCACAAGTTCGTTGTGTCTTACGGACTCGGCGCGTCCGCTGAGTAACATATGTCAGCCCCAGCCTTCTGATCGCTCCGCTTCCGAGGGGGCTGCCATGGGCGGTCTCTCATATGCTGCCGGGGGACACGGGTTAAATTCTGTGTTTTAATAATTTCCCAAAATTTTCTCGAAAGTTCTTCTCACAAAATTTGGTGGAGGGGGGCGCCGGCGGGCCGGGTCTACTCCTGCCGGGCAATGCTGTGCCGGGGGGCGCGACGCGTGCCGTTGCTCTGCTTGCTGGGCGGCAACTGCTGTGCGGGGGGCCGGGCGGAGGCGCCGCCGGCCGGCCGCGGAGCTTGCTCATGGCTTCTGCTGGCGTGGTCGCAATGCCTGGTGCCGCGGGGGGGGGGGGCTGCGCCGGAGCCGCGCGGCCAGCTAGCTCTGCTTGCTGGGCGCGCAATGGCTTGTGCCGGTGGGGGGGGGGGCGGTGGGCCACACTGGGCGGCTAGCTCTGCTTGCTGGGCGCAATGCCTGTGCCGGGGGGGGGGGGGGGGGGGGGTGGGTTGGGACCCGGCGGGCCGCCAATGGGTTATCTCTCCATATGCTTGAGGTTGCCAGCACATTAAGATAAACGTCTCCGAGGCCCGCTTGCTGCGACGAAAAATTTTGTCAAAAGTCCACAAATTGGGTGTCTACAGACTCGGCTCGTCACGCTGGAATAACAATATGTCAGCCCCAGCCTTCTGAGTCGCTCCCTTCCGAAGGGCCGCCATGGGTCATCTCTCATATAATGAAGTTGCCACACCATTAAGACTAGTGTGAATGTCACAACGGAAAAGTTTGTCCAAAGTCCACAAGTTCGGGTCCGTGCTCTACGACTCCGGCTCGTCACGCTGCATCAGTAGTTACAGTAACAATATGTCAGCCCCCAGCCTTCTGAAGTCGCTCGCCTTCACAGGGCCGCCATGGGCGGTCTCTCTAATATGTGCTGCGACGTCGGGGGGGACACGGACTTAATTTGTCGTTGTTCAATATTTCAAAAAATTTTCTCCGAAAGTCCACAAATTTAGTGTCTACAGACCTCGGCTTGTCTCACGACTGAAGTAACATATGTCAGCCACCAAGGCTTCGTAAGTCGTTCCTCGGAGGGATATATGCCTCGTTAAACGTCTCGCAGGCCCGCTTGCGCGACTGAACAAAAATTTTGTCAAAAGTTCCAACAATTGCACACTCGGTGTCCTACGGACTCGGCTCGTCACGCTGAGTAACATATGTCATAAGCCCCAAGCCTCTGAGAGTTCGCTCCGCCGTTCCAGCAAGGCGCTGCCATGGCGGTCATCTCTCGACCTATGCTGAAGGTGCCACACTCAGCGGTCCCGCAAACTTTCATTTCAGTGGGGTGCCACATCAATCTTTCAGCTTTCTCGAGCACGCACTGTGGGGGCCGGAGGTTAGTCTATAACAGGAAACTGATACGGGGGCCAGGGTGACAACCAGTATTATTGTGGAGCATTATAATGATAATTTGTTTTAGCTGCCCTTCCGTTTGGCTTTGGCACCAAACCTGTTGATTTGCCCAAAAAAAAGTAAAAAAAAGTCTTCACATTGTGTTCTTATTTGAAGTAGCTCACAGATACTGCCATTATTTTATGAAAAATAAACAAACAAACCCCCTGGAAAAATTGGTAATGATTCAAGTAAAGAATGAGGTGGATGTGATTTTTGTAACAGGTACAGTTGAGAGTTAACCAAACGGTAAAGTATTCTGTCTTTACAGGTAGTGAAAATAAATATTAATACAGAAATAGTGGTCAGAATCAAGGTTAGAACATGTTTGCCTATAACAAAGAGCATTACTGATTAATGACATTTTTAATAATCTATTGCTATTGAAATCAGTAGGCTTACCATATCAGTGTGAGCTGTGGGCTTGCTTCTGACTGGTGAGGAGATCCATGTCAGGTTCCATTCCAGTTACAGCCAGTCTCAGGAGCTGATGCAGCGTGTTTGATCTGTGAGACTTGATCTCGTCGGATTTTTTATTCAGCTTAATGTGTGAAAAAGTTTGCTCACATGATATATGTGCTCCCAAAAACTTGTGGACATCTTTGTTGCGTGCTTTCTTATGTTGGGGTAGGTCTCATTTGGGAGGGCAGCATAGTACTTGAATCAGACTGTTGGGGCTGAATACGTCTTTCAGCACATCACAGGTCTGCAACGTCAGCCAGCTCAAATTGAAGAGAAGACAGGGGTCCGGTGTTAATTTCGGCAGCATGAAAGGGTTCTGGAATAATGCGGATTTCTTTAACGTGGACATGAAGCTCACGGAACCGCACACCGAACTCCGCCCTCAGTGTTTCCAGTGCATCCTTGCACTTCTCGGTTGGGAACGGGACCGCCGGTTTCTCAGCTGAGAGGCTTCGAGTAGCAGGGAGATGGGTGAAGTCTTGTTTTTGCACCTGTCCAATAAGCAGCGCTAGTTTAAGCTCAAATACTTTGATGTGGGAATACATGTCAGATTAGTTTTCCCTTGCCTTGGAGCTAATAAAGGCGAGGTCCCATTTCCATTCTGTGTCGATCAGCTCTGGGACAGTTTTTCCCTTTGTCAGGAGAAGGCATTGATTTCGGGTAGCAGGTCGTAAAAACGCTTCAAAACTCTGCCCCGGCTTAACCAGCGGACTTCAGTGTGGTAAAGCACGTCTCCGTGGGCTGATTCTAGCTCGGAAAGAAAGGCTTGGAACTGCCTGTGTTTAAGTCCGTTTGCTCTGATGAAGTTTATGCAGGACACAACCACCTTCATGACAGATTCCCACCTCAGAACTTTGCAGCTTGACGCTGGCTCGGTCACGATCAAAGTCACGTCAGAATATACCATTGTGTGAGGAGGTGAAGATGAGCCACTATTAACTATAAATAGCTCATAACTATGGTCAATTTTAATTAGAATGCCAACCTTTAAGTACGGATATGTTATGATGTTATGATAGGAAAATGCAATTTAATAAAAATTGGTTGATGTTTAGAGGGATTGTCTGGGATCGTTAAGTGGGCCACTCCAATTGCTTTGGCGGGCCGGATGTGGCCCGCGGGCCGTAGTTTGGGGACCCCTGCTCTATACTCTCAGCTTTTCCAGCCACTAAAAATCCTTCAAATTAGACAGTTTAAGAAGGGAAAATCACTTCCTGGTTGAACGCTCCATTTAAGGGGTTGCAGAAAGGTTGGAAGCCACTGAGCTAGAAGATTTAAGACTTGCTAACCGTGTACAAGAGGCTGTAACATCATTCAGCTGGGGGTCAGAAATTTGTTTTTTACAATACTGTTCAATGGAGGGCCGTTATAGTTTTACATGTGTCGCGGATATTATGAGTTGTGATTTTTTGTTGTTATTTTTACTTATTACTATTTTTGAGTATTTAATTTCATTTAAGAATAAAACTGATTCATAAAACTGTTTGTTTTAGGATTGTATGAGAGAGGCAAATATGATTTTCTCCACTGGTAAGTTCCAGTAGAATTATATTGATACTAATTTGGAAAAAAAACTGCCAAATACATGCAGATGTGGCTTTATGTTGTACTACAGGACTTGAGATGCAATCAATAGGCTATCCACACACAATAAACAGGGCCTTCTTCATTTATGGTTGACTGAAAGAACATTAACTGTTGTTGCCTTGGAGAAAGAAAAAAAAATCAGCACGCCATTTCTGTTCAGTTCTGTTTGTGTTCGAGATGCAACTCAGTTATTATTATTAGATGTTACAAGGTCATGTTTATTGGGATTTACATGAGTAAACAATGTTAGGTAGAGCACATTCATGAAAAATGTGATGTAAACTGACCACCTACCACTGCCTTACAGTACAAATGGAAAACAACTTAGCAAGCGTGTTATTGAATTTTAACTTTTGTACTTTTTGCTCCCTAATCCTAGCATTACATGATATTGGGAGGGCAAGCAGAGAGGACAGTGAATCATCTTATCATGAACTGCCTACAGCTTCTTTTAGAAGGCACAGGCACGCATCAGCACACAGGTGTACACATGATTCACATCATAAATATGCTTTCACTCTATGATTTTTCAAGTAGCTTAATAAGAGATGGGTGTCCTCTTTCACACCAAAACACAGCCCTGCTGTGGATGTTTGGCTGCTTTTTCATTTAGTAATATAGCAAAATCGAAAACTATTTCCCCCCGAGAGCCTGCTCATTAATTAACAAAGTAATGGAACCACTAGCATTTACATGCAAGTAACACAACGCTTCATTTTCTGCATGGTTCGGCTATCACATCTTAGACATGACCAATCAATGAGGAATATGATTACAAGGCAAGCATAAATTAAATTCAGATTGCTACAATGTCCGTGCACTTGTACAGTGGTTAGATTCTGGAAAAACTCACAGAGAAAATCTAAACATCTGCATCTGCACTGCGTTTAACTTTAGGAATGAAAACTAGAAAGAAAACTGAAAGATTATTTCGATATGATCTCAGAGGAGTTGCTTGCTCCTGGGGACTCGATTCTCACATACAAGGTGAGATAAAAAGGTTCATGTTTCACAGTTTGAGTAGTTTTATTGCTTATTTTATGACTTCAAATACTCACTACGCCAGGAAAGATTTTGGTGAGTCGGTCAACAGCTGCCATGGCTTTGGACTTCCCTCCTCCGAGACAGTCCTCAAACTCATAGAGTGGCTGCCGCACTGGATTGGAGTATGAGATCTTGGCATTGTCTACAAATGTGATGTGTCTCACTCCCCATCCCTGGAGAACAACGGAAAAGCACAAGTCATATATTTTAATCACATTGTTTGGAAATACTTAAGTACTATTTATCGACAAGAACCGTGTCCTAAGCAGCATTTGTAAGCAGCTTGAGTGAGAATTGAGTGGGAGGTTGTTGTGCCCAGTGTGTATTTCAAAATGAATACTTAGTGCACTTCCACTGTCATTTTAAAATAACTGATGCGTCAGTGTGCAGGTAACACAGCTTGAAGTTATTCCAGCTGCTTTTAAATAACATCACTCTCTGTTTACACAAAGTCGAGCCACAAAATCAATTACATCATACCATAGCTGAGTATCTGATCAAATTTAAGGCCAAATAAAATAATAAAATGTTTGTCCATCTTCATAACTAGCAGTTTGTGGTGTATGAAAAATATTTAAAAACCTACAGGCTATCAGCCTTTTGGATCTGGTCAGTGAATACAGCACACCTATTTGATGCTGGGAGGTCGGCCTTCAACAGTCAACACAGAGCAACAGAAAGTTCTTGCGCAAATTAGCATTATGTTATTATATACAATAATGGGATCCTGAATTATTATGTTATAAGTCAAACAAACATTCACACCATGAGAAACCAAAATCTTTTGTTATAGTAATAACTTAACACAGCCTCTGACAAGGTTACGGGAGAGCATTACATTACAGCAGTTTCTGCTCTGTATATGGAAATAAATTCCAATACAAAGTCTTTGAGAATGTGATTGAATGACCGAGGCAAGACAACATAAACTATTTACAGTATACAGCAAATTTCACGGTACATTTCTGTGCCTTGTTCAGCCAGTGAACGTTGGGCATGGCCTGGGGGTGGCCAGGGAGGAGATAAGACTATAATAAATCTTTAGTTTGACTAGATCAATGTGGGCGGTGGCTATCTGTTCCATCTCTCCTGAGACAGTGCTGCTTACATCTGCAGAGCAAATAGTACTGACTCATGAAAATCTGTCAAACAATGTTGATTACTCTGTAAACAGTTGGTCCTGATTCACAAATAATCATCTAAGCTTTTATTTACACATCTAGTTCTCCCCCAGATGTTCATAACAAAATTTGGTTTAACTGTATCAGTAAATTCTGCCTCCATCGGTACAGTACGGTACGGTATGGTACAGTTTTGATTTTATTTTGAGGTTTTACGCTGAGATTGTTCCAAGTTGAACTCCCACTTAAATCAGGAAACTTTGCTGGTTCAATTTTAAAGAGTCTGGAGAAGATTAAAGTGTAATTCAGCGTTAAGTGTCAATTTAAATGCTGAGTGCTGTGCTGAGCTAGCAAAACATTGCTCCATAGCAAATGGTCAAAAACTCCCCAGTGAACCTTTAAACATTACATAATAATATGATGCTGAAAACAGTGTGTCAAATTCCAGTATACCTTCATCCCTCTGTCAGCCCATTGCATTATTTTTCCACCCTTACCATCAGAGTCCTGGCTACATTGCAGCCCAGAGTCCCAGCTCCCAGTAGAAGACACTTTGTGTTGACCACCTTGTCCAGGTCCAGGGTTGGAACCAGCCTCCATCTCATTAGCTTCAGGTTCAGATCCACTGATGACTCTGCAAGCCTGGAGACAGCCAATCAAAATAACTGCGGACCTGCATTGCCCTCAACATTCATTTCAGAGTACAGATACAGAGTAACTGACAGTTATATTCACACTTCAACATATTTGTATTATGTATTTTACCTTTTAGGGTCCATGCATTCACTGAGGTTGACCATCCTGGGTCCCATGGCCCCCTTAGGGTTCTTCTCCCAACCTACACTCTTAGGACACACTGTGAAAAAACACATTGGTGCTGTAAAATGAGAGATCTATTACAGTGTGAAAGATAACAATGAAACAGGTAGTGTCAGTGCACCCTATTTACAAAAACTCACATAGTCATTTGTGCTCACTTACGTCAAGTGATATCAACCCATGAGGAAAGTTTGGTTTTATTTGCTCAAGTTTTACATCCTACACCCAACCTTCACTCCAGTACATTGACAGTGAATGGAATTTAGTTTGTGGTGCACACACAAAAATTACATTTAAAAAAAAACATGTCCCTGTTCTGTTGGATAATACACACTGTGAACAGTTTTCATTGAAAACTACTTTAAACAAACTACTTTGTCCTGAAGAAACAGTCCTATGAGAACCAATAATAATGTGTCAAACACAGAGTGTGTATTTGCATGAACTCCCTGTTTAAACATACAACAACCTGTCCTGTGACATAAACAAAAAACACAGAACAAAAGTGAAAGAAAAGGTGCTTCCAACCCTTTGACTTTCATCTTCCCATCTGAGGATCTGAATTACTCATTTCCACCCATGAATTTAGAATTCATGCTTTCAGACTGAATGAAAATCATACCGTCAAATTACCCCAATTGTTTAAATTAAAATTAGATTAGAAGAATCACATTAAGTAGTATGAAGGTATGTGTGGCCAGTCCAGTCATACAGGTGGAAGGATGACACATAGCAGATATTTGCATTGAATTTTATTCCTTTTATTTTTATCCCACACACACACTCATACAGTTTTGATGCTACGCTGGAGACTACTACATTTCCATCTCTTTTTACTTAAAGTCTGTGTCATCTTGCCTTTAAATGGTGGCAGAGCTGAGCCTGATGTATCTGAAAAGTTGGGCCATGGTGGATTGGTTCATCTCTTTCAGGACAATACCAGGGCGAATAGCTAAATCAATTTTTGCTGCATGTGTATATTGTCTGTGAGTTAATTAAAACCGACCATGTGCTGAAGAGGTAGAGGGAAGTAAACAAAGACACCTCATCTGAACTCAACAAAACCTTCACAGATCACAGAGCTACTCACTTCCTCATCCTGCTATTACCATTTAAATTACTTTCATCCCTTTATCAACAGATAAAGGAATAATGGAGAAGCTGTTTGAGATTAGTGTGGCTTGAATAAGGAAGCAGATAGCTTCAGTGGAGAGTGAACTAAGACTGGGGATTTATATCAGCGACAATATACACTTGTGAATGTGTAGACACATTCACAAGTATAAATGCATGTACTTACAAAGATATATGATATACCAACAAACATGCATGTTACATACTGTCACATGCACAAATACAACTCCTCACAAATACAAGATTACCTGAGTTGTCGGGAAGATCGGGTAGTTTGACCTGGAAGACGACACTGTGCTGAATGGAGCGGCTTCCCTGCAGAGTTCTGTCCCTAAAACACAGCACCTCCACTGTGTCTAGCTTAGAGCCCCTGACACACACACACACACACACACACACACACACACACACACACACACACACACACACACACACAAATAAAGGAAATGTGAAAGTCAATGAAAATACCACCGCCATTATGCACAGATTAGACTAGAAGCTACAAAGATGTGAACTACAACTGAAAAAAAAATAAAAAATCATGTGACATCATGAATATCTCGGATAATAGAGTGCTATAGTGTAACCAACATGGAAAATCCTCTGTCTCCCCCTGTAGTACAATAACCAGAGAGATAAATAAGCATTCACAACAATATAAACCACGCACATCCACGTACCATCACATTTCCCCTAATATGGTACTAAATGGCAGATTACAAACTGGAGTGAAACAACTGAACAAGTGAGACATCGCGGCTACACTGTAATTCTAAATCTTTACCTATCTGAGCCAGTATCAACACTTTCTGTTTATCACTGATAGAAAGTGTAGTCAAGCACAAGACTGATGAGGTTTGTATTGGATAAAAACTGCCTCTGATTATAGCCCATGAAGCCTAAAACCTCTCAAAGAATTTGCTGCTGATAAGATCCTGGTATCATAGAACACTACTGCTGAACTGGCCTCAATGAAAGTTCCCTGTTTAAATAATTATGCAATAAAAACCTTTTTAAAATAGCAACACAAGTGCCAGGAAAAACTAAACTCTCTAGAGAAAAGTGTGGCAAAAAATGACTGATTATGGAACTGAATTTGGAGGTAGACTTTTGCAGACTGTGTACATGTATCTAAGTGACAGTGAAACAAGCAACAACTGCAGCAATAATTTTACACATTCCTGGTTGATGATGCAGTACGATCATGTGATGTAACAATGTTTTTATTCATTCTTAGACAGTATCAAGATCAACTAAGAGAGATTATTATACTTATTGTTGTCCAGTGTTATTTTTAGTCAAAGTCGTGTTACTGTTCTCTGGTAAATCAATCTGACCCTCCAGCTGCATTACCATACAACTTTGACTTTGATTCCTCAGGTGGCAGAACAGCTATTCATCCAACATCTGGCGACAGAGGCATTCAGTGTTTATGCTCCTGAAGGACGGAACATCCTTCCTGCTGATTTGAGGTTTGCACCTGCACCATAAATGTTTTAAGCATAAACTCAAGACGCACTTGTTTAATTTAGCTTGTTCTTAACACTTTTTTTTTCTTGTCCTTAGGATGTGTGTTTATGTGTGCTGTCTATGTGTGAACTGGTTTATCAGTCTGTAAATCACTTTAAACCCCTTCTGTTTGAGACTGCGGTCTACCTGTAAACTTGAACTTGATGAAAAAAGCAATGTTAAAAAAAACACATTCATAAACACATAATAAATATAAAGTATTGCAGCATGCTTTGGAACTACTTTAGCCACAGCGGCTAACCAAGTTCTTCTATCAGTGGCTAACCGTATCCTTAAATGTATATTTTTATATTTCTTTTACAATTTGAAACATTTTGTCTTTATTTCTTTCATCTACCATCAGACTTCAATTGTTGGAAGTTAAAATGTTTGAAAAGTTTTCATGGCATGTTAACTACATGGCAAGAACGATGCTGCATGTGGTGTAATGGAAATACATTGCAGCAGATAAACTGCAGTCACCACATGGGATTAAAATGCCTGAGTGACAACCTAAGTTTACATCACTTGTTCTCAATCTTTGTGTAAATATTTGACTGTGCTTCAATAAGGATGCTTGGATTAAATGTTTTGAAATAAATCTGATGCACCATTCACTCCCCAATGGTGTGCTGAAATATTTCCTCTGTAAATATTTCAGTTATATTTATCTCCCCACAAAACAAGCTTCTACGTACCACCGCCATTTCTACAACAATGCGAGTCAACACTCAGCGACTTCTGAGCTGCAACATTATAACGTATTTCACTTATACTTGATGCCCTGATGTCAACACACATTAGACCAGACGCTGTATGTGGTGTAAATACAATGCAGCAGGTAAACTCTTCATTGCCAAGTCACCACATGGGATTAAAAGGCCTGAGTGACAACTTTGGCTCACAACACTTGTTCCCCTTTCCTGCTACTAGACTCCTTTGTCAACTTTTGAATGGCAGAAAAAAAAGCCAGTTCCTACAGCTACTAAAAACACAAATATGTGGTACAAAAACAATGGCCACCGAAAGTGTAATATAATTGTAATTATATAATTAAAATAGCATCCACTGGCCAGTTTCAAGATGATTCAGGAGTTTCAGGATGCAGCAAATACACTGCATTCTGTGTGCATGTGTGCATGTGTGCGTGTGCGTGTGTGTGCGTGTGTGTGTTTTCACAGTATATGGTGTCCACAGACAGCAGCTGCTTGTGTCACAGATGGGTCCATCATGGGTTAATAAACCAGCCACTGTTGCTCACCCAGACTGAGCAACCGTGTTGTGCAATGTCAAAAACACACACCCACACAAAAAGAGGACAGAGGCAAGAGCTGCAATGATCTGGATCTTCCCTCGCTGACGAAATCTGGGATAAATATTGAAAATCTTTACGCGGAGAAAATAGTCTTGATCGCTAGTAGTGAGGTCTTCACATGGAAATGACTGCAAACAAGTATGACCAGTTAACAAAATAAATTGTGGAAAGTCTGACTTTTGTTTTAAGGCCACGATGTGAGCAGTTTGTAAAAATGGATCTTGTTTATCAGGAAATTGTACAGCTCAGTAGACACGTAGTGCGATCTTACCAGCAGCAGTCATGTTGTACAAATCAGGGATCCTTCAAGGAACAAGTGTAATTAATCAAGTTTATCTCTTCCTCGCTAAACTCTTATGACACCATTGTGACGAAGCAGCAGACAGAGAATTTGTCTGACAGAAAACCCTTTAATTTTAGATTTTTTTGTATTGATACAAGGCAATACAAAGCTATTTAAGCAATGCCCTCAACTTTGGAAGTTGATATCAGTATCCATAATCACACCTGCTACCTACACTTCACAGTCAGGAAATCAGCTAAGCAGAGATTTCCTGCCTTTCAATTTGTGGCTTTGTGCCTAAATAAAGGACTCAGTGTGAGCTGCAAAACATCCAAAGTGAAATTAATAACAATGTGTTTTTAAATGCACAGTGAGGACCTACAAGTCTTACACACACACACACACACACACACACACACACACACACACACACACACACACACACACACACACACACACAGAGAAGTATGGTTTACCATCGGTTGGCTAAGAAGACCAGTAGATTTCTCAGAGGCCAGCCCGGATGTTGAGACAGAGTACATGGATCATACACACCCACAGTAACCTAGAAAAACCAAACAAGGTGTGTTTACATCACCAAAGTGTGTGTGTGTATGCATGTGTGTAACACAACAGACTCTAATCTAACGGATGAGATGAGCCGCTACAATTCTGGTAACGATCGAGCTTAAATCTAAGAAGGGGGGCAAAAATCTACCACCTTCAGTGTAAAATCAAATCTTTTCAAATATTTTAAACTAATACAGAATAAGCAAAAAGTTGGGAAACTTTTGGCAGATATATTCAAATCATACTGTTTAGACCTAACTGCAAAAATGTTTGTATTGTTTGCTCTGAAAAATATATAAAAAAATAAAACATATAATACAAACTAAATAGGTTTTTCATTCCGGCCTACATATATAAAATTGTCTTTACATGACTACCTTCTTAGTATCAGTGAAGAATGTATCCCAGTCCCCGAGTGGAGCCAACTGAACAGTGTCATCAGTGTACTTCATTAGGAAGTAAGGAACTGCACTGGTCTCTCTTCTGAGGCACAGTCCATCATAAGCCTCCTGCAAAGCTGCAATCTGAGAAAGAAATAATGAGGTGTCAGTAATGCGCATACAAAGCTCTGTATGTAGACACAGAGCTTTATACATATACATACATGTATGATATATATCATATATCATACTATATATGTCTTACATAATATCCACAATTCCAAAATATTTTATTGTAAATATAACGATGAATGAGAGGATATTATCACACTTATTACTGAGATAACTGCTGGTGTGAATTCTAATTTACATAGTATGGCTTATTTATGTGTATATTTTACAAGTTACATAAACAATGCCATCTGGCTGACCAAATGCCTTTGCAGTGTTTGCATTTGCGAAAGTTGCACAACAGTTTATCACAGCACTGATTGAACTTTGGCAGGTTTAAATGTCATCTTGCAGCTTACACGTCTCAGTTATGAACTGTCAAGATGTTACAGAACACTGATTGTTCTAGTCCAGACAAAAGAGAGGGAAAGGGAGAGGGGGAAAAAATGGAGAAATCGCAACTGCAACCTGCAGCTGGTGTCATGCTGTTCATGAGTCATTCCTTTTCTCTCTTAATGAGGTTTTTTCACTCCTTGGATCCATTTCACTTCGTTATATTGTTTTATGACCTGTACATTTTTAGACAGCCTTTTAGCATTAAAGCATACTTTTCAGAGCTGCATTTCTTAGGAAAATGGTTGAGAGTGTTAGAATTGTCTTAGGAAAGAGGAAACTAAAAAACCAATAGAAAAAAGCTAAAGGTATTTATTCTGATCATACAGCAGGTCAATTGTATAACTTATGTCTAGAATTTGTGTTTGAGTATCAACACTTCTAAAACCACGTCTTCAAAATCCCAGTTTAGAAAAGAGGAAAAAGTAATGCACCTACTGTGTAATTTAAAAGTGTTCTGTCCAAAATACCAATTCCGGTTGTTGTCTAATGACCCTTTTAAGAACCAACCTGTTTTGCTGAGAAAACTTGCTCTAGGACAGACGGCTGCTGGACAATCTTTATCCCCTCTGGGAAGCAGAGTGCAGGGAAGCAGAACCAATAATAAAAATGGTACTTCTTCAGATCCTGAAAAACAGATGGTCATAAAATGGGATAAATGAAATGCAAAAAGATTGAAAGAAAAACAGAAAGACGGTCACATAAAGTCATTAATATATGGAACTAACACATTTATAACACAGTGTTTATACGCACTGCAAAGGTCAGCAGAATGAATCTACAGAGGATGGATGGGTCCTTCAACGCAGCCCCAGACTGTATGGCATCCCATATCTAAAAGACAACAGTAGATAAAAAATTACCCTCATTCAAGCATCAAATTTTGACAATTTCTGATGTCCATCTTACAGCATTCTCTACCAGAGTCTGTATGTGAATGTGTGTCCCACTGGAAGTCTCTTACCTCCTTGGCCTCTTTCTCCAGCAGAGCCTTCTTATCAGCGGTCTTGAACGCATCAAGTGTGTTGGTGTTATACAGCGTTCCAATAGCTGGACAGCAACGAGCTGGGGTTGGACCATCCCTAACAGCAAAAACACATTTCATATTTCCATTAAACTGAATGAATATCCTGTATATGCTACGTACATTTTGTAAACACAGTTGCTTCGCTGCAGACTTACAAATGACGTGATGTGAGAGCTGATCCAAAGTTAGTCCAAACCTTATCTGACCTGGTTGATAAACTCTAAAGGGAGTTCACCCATTCATTATTCTGTTAACAATGAAAACTTCCCTCATACTTACACATCAAATGCACTGAACTCCAAAGTCAGGCGTGTGGGCAAACCAACTGGGTCACCTATGGGAGAGAAATGTTATTGTAACTTAAATGATACTGATCTAGATTAGCAATTTGGCCTCTGCTGTGCAACTTGTTTTCATGTTTTATATAATCCATATACTTGTCGAAAAAAGCGAAAAACATTAACTGGAGAGTTATCATTAGTATGATAACTACTACCACACTGCTCACCATTGTAGTAGTATCCTTTGATGCATTTGGGGCTCTCGTCCAATCTATAGTCGTCGAGTTTCTTCTGAGTAAGCTGGTGCCAGAAACCTGCCTCCAGAGCACTGCTGAAGGGAGCAAACTGCAGCTTGAGGTCTGCAGCGGAGGACGCTGCTCCACTGGTGTCAGATGCCATCACAACTTCACTAACAGGATGCACGGCCAAGTTCTACTAGCTGTGAAATGAAACAGTTGCAGGTTATAAAACATTTGTCGACACTATAATCTGTCATAAGGCAATTTAAGAGGTTACATTCACATTCATAAATTGTAACTAAAAGGCTTAACACAAACACACAACCAACATTACAATAATTTATTAGCTGCTGAGCTCATGACCTCTAATGGTACTGTTTGATACACAATCAAGTGAAGTAAACAAACAGCAAAAGGTAGAAACTTATTCAATGAATTAAAAGAGTGTCACATGTTGTACCGATTGTAAAACCTTTTCAGTAATGTGTGACTCTGCGCTATAGACATATCTGACTTGAAATGACAAAATGTATCATCCTAACTCCTGCCAGGTACTGGTCAAAATAACTGAACAATCCTGATACATTTCTAGGGCTGTAGCAATTATTTTCATTTGTTGATTATAGTTGTTTATCCAAAAAATGTAAATGCCCGTCATTCATCTTCATTTTAGTTTTGTCAGACTGACTTCCAAAACACCAAATTATTCATTTTGTATTTATATAAAACAAAGAAAAACAGAAAACCCTCACTCTGCGGGAGAATATCATTTTTTGTTGCATTCTAGCTCTGCAAATGACTTAAAAGAGTAATCAACCATCAACAAAATAGCTGCCAATTTATTTCATAATGACTGACGAATCAATTATTTGACTATTTGTTTCAGCTCTACACATTTCTTACGGCCAACTTGTGACGGGTAGGCTATTTGTCACTTCCTTTGACATATCACAGGGTAAACTGTTAATCAATTCATCTCAGAAGTGAAATGATTGTTTGTCTGCACATCTAATTGCTATGGCACCTGATAACATTAAACACTACTGATGCAAACATTTCAATACGTTTTTGGCCAGAATAAACTAAAAATACAAGGTGAGATCCAGCAAGTCTGGTTTTGTTTGGATGATTTCTTACTGGAAAAATTAGCAGCAAGACACTTTAACCCTTAAACACTTTGGCGCTCCACAGGAAAGTTGATGTATGTTTGAATTCTATATTTAATGTGTCAGGACTTAAGACACTTGAGAAGTTAATGTGCAGTGAGTTAACACAGACACACACATGACAGCAGCAGCCTTATATCCTCTAATGCTTTTACACTCGACCGGCATCTTCACAACACACACCACACTAAGACGATAAAATGTATTTTCCGACCCGGATGATCAACGTTAACGTTAAACAAACCAGAGACGCGATTCTTTGTCAAAATTTAACAAGCTGAGTTTTATTGACTTACCAGAAATCCTTACTTCCTGGTAAAGCTGGTCATGTGATAAGCGGCGACTTGTCAATAAAGCAGTGCAGTGTGGGTAAGTAGCTCGTCAGGTTAGCCTCGGTTAGCCGGTGTATAGATGTGTCTCTTGTTTTAAGGCGCAAGCACCATCGAGTAAAATATGAAGAACCAAAATAAAAATAAGAACACACAAACGATAAAGCATGAGAAAACAGACAGAAACCTGTACGCGCCGTTTCTTTTCATGTCGGACTGAACAGATGTGTACAAGATTGTGAGGCTGAAGCAAGTAACGTATGTATGCTTCACTAGCCTATATACCCGCACCACCTCCGGTTTCAACCGGTAAAATCACAGGCCAAACATAATTATATCGAAACAGGTAAAAATCTGCAATTCCGTAATGTAATAAAAATGCTACGAGCTCATTTTCACCAGAATGGTTACTGGGACATCGGAAATTGGCTTGATCTGGGCACCGATCTGTGCCACACTGAGTTAGGGACCGTCTTTAAACTACACTGCTTGGGAAAAAACGCACGATGTTCACCTACCACTTACAAACTTAAGAACAAAACTTATTAACCTTCTTTTGATTTTAAAATTTTATTACATTTTATAGAGCTTCGTCGGTCTCAGTATCAGTGAAGAATTTATCCTAGTCATCTGTACCAATGAGGTTTATGATTTGCAAGTTAAATAATGGTATGCTGAGAAAATGCTTATTAAATACAAGGTTGTGTGATTGTGTAGTATTGGGACCTCAGACGTGAACACTATCTGTAACATAATCTGTACTACCCAAGTATAAATCTACCAACCCGTTTATAAACATATAATCAACTTAAAATCTATACTATCATGGATAATTTGTTCTACTCTTCAAAACAAATCATTATTTCATGAAGGTCATGATTGAAAATTAATGATAGTTTTAGTCTATTAGTTGCATTTGAAGATTTGATGTGCATGATAATTAATAGATAAATCAAGCTGCAAAAAATAATCTGCAACTATTTTAATAATAAAATAATAAATTTAGGCATTTTTAAGTAAAAATTGCAAACTTTCTCTGGTCCCAGCTTCTCAAATGTGAGAATTGATGTGATGCTTTTCTTTGTCATATACAATATAAAACTGGATATATTTTGGGTTTTGGTCAATTTATTTGTAATTTAATTTAATTTTGAGATTATGAATGTTTTTTTTTTTTATAAAATTCATAAAAAATTAACCCTGTAGGACCATTAATAGGGCTAATAAGGGGTTAAAGTAATGTAGGTAAATTATTTTTGTTTTACCTAATCATAAACCGCCCCAGTAAGAGCAATTGCACAGTCTGAAAGTGGTCATGAACAGAAAATCTTGTTAGCCGTCTCTTACTGTACCGACATTTGTTGTCATTACTTTCCCCAAAGCAATATTAATAAAACAAATCTAAGTAATTTCTGCAGAAAATATAGCTTTTGTCATATGAATTTCTAAAATATGTAATTTTCCTCGGATCTCACCATACAGTTACTTGTATGATGTTCACATTTAACCATTGTCCTGTTTAGTTTCTCTTTTTTTCCACACCCACTAGAATATCTCTTCATTTTGCATGATCGATTCAAGGTGCATTTTGCAAAAGAAACTTGTACAAGTCACAGTAAAATTCACTCGAATTCAATGGGGCACCTTCAGAGAGGTTTACAGGTCCATGTTTTGCAGAGAGCTCTATATCTTTAAAGATTGTGTCAAGGCAGTTAGCCACTGGCAGGCATAGCAAATATCTGCCATGCCACATCAGGTAAATTTCCCTCATGCAGTCCATTCCTATTTATACTTTACACATGAAAAACATATTTCTTCAATAAATAAGTACAAATATCCTGTGACATCCACCTCAGAAATCCATGAAACAGACCACTACCTCATAGGGATGTAGAAAGACATTTTTGAGGGTCCATGGATCAATTTTCTAAAAAAGTTATTTTTGTACTTCACAAGTGTTCAAAGCAAACACTTTCAACACACTGACTTAACTAAAATACCTCTGACAACCTCAACGTGGCACACTGTAAAATTGCCTGATTTATGAACATCTTAGGTTCAGGCAAACATGGATTCCCATTTATAAATCAGCAACCATAAATCAGCCACAAAATAATAAGGAGCTAATTTAATCCTTTTCATGCATAAAGAAAGAATGATGAAGAGGTAAAAAGCACAGAGGTCCTCCCTGAGTCACTCACTGACAGATATGAGTGCTGACTGAAAAGGTGATGTTGTTATCGCTCGTTGAACTGGGCCTTGGCAGACTTTCTTACAATAACAGTAATAATAATGAAATACAGTCATATTTGTTTGGTCAAGGGGACATTTCAGCTGAAGAACTTGAGCCTCTATGGCCACCATGTTCTGCACTTCCATGCAACATGTAGAGAAAGTGATAGGGGTTGTATGATATAAAAACATTTATATTCATGCCAGCCTTTGGTTTCATTCCGCTGACAAGTAATGTACTACTACACTGTTAGACTTGAGGTATGGATGGCCTGAAAACCAAGCTAACAATTTTGACACTTTGACCATATGAAATAGTTTTACAGTGAATATTGTTGTTCAGCTGGGGATACAGCCCATATTTCAGGTTTCCCTCTCCACATTTTTATTACCAGTGTTGGTTTTGGCAAATCGGTAAATGTTGGCTATATTTGCACAACTAGCACTTGGGTTCCTCTCCGCTTTACAGTGTAGGATCAATTAGAGTCAACTGTCAGTGTGCTGGTAATGTTTTTATTGTTCCCACGGTAACAACCAGCATAAGGCTGCTTCCTGTTGCTGGTGTTTCTTCAGTCACTATGAAAATATAGAATTGTGTTTTCCATGTTGATATGATCTAAAGTGTACAAGGATAGAGGGTGATGCATGATACATTTGTGATTTGTGATTTGTGATTTTGGGCTGCATAAATAAGATTGACTTGCCTGCAGTTTGACTAAACTGATGAAACCCAGAAGTGATGATAAAGGTATATATAACCAAGGCTCGATTACTACTTGGGAGACCTCCAGGGCTCCTAAAGGTTTTCAGTTAGTCAGTTAGTTTTTGGTTACAGTCAGATTTGTTTGGGAGTTTGCACCACAGAAATACAATAATCCACTAAGCCCTGCACTGTACTGTGATCAAATGGCCCCATTTGGTAGTGGGGTCCTGTGTCAACCTGTCCTCCTGTGCCGTACCCTTATTCTTTTTAACTGTGTTGACATGGTGCATATACTCCAAAATGAAGTTGTGTTTTTAAAATTCAAATTAACACAAACTAACTGACATAAAGACAAACTAAGACCAGGTAGTTAGGAGTAGGTTTCTGCATCTGAGCAAAACAAGGAAGCAGCCATCTATGCTGTGCTGAGTGCACTGTATGTGCAGGGGCCCAACATCAAAATTTTTGTCCCGGGGCCTCCAGGACAGGTTAATGTGCAGCATGTAAATTAAACTTAATGCCAATACACTCAGTTGCCAGTGTAATAGGCATACCTGGCTAAAACTAATTCAATCTGCACCTCCAAAAAATGATTGCAAAGTTGAATCAACACCTCTCTAAAACAGTTTCAACAAAAACTGAACATTATGACCTTAATAAAGTTGGAAATGAATGCAAGGCTGTTGTAGTTCAGACTCCAAACACTGTCTGTTCAGTATTGCCTCATTTTGACCGGTGGGCTAACTGACTTTATAACAGATATGATCTGGTTGTCATAACAAAAAGCATTATTAAAACACCATTAAACGGCATCAACTGATCATTAGAAAACAACACAGAGACCTTTGCTCTCTGTTGCCAGCAATAAAACTTTGCTGGAATGAAATGAAGCCAGACAGCAGCTGGAATTTATCTCTAATTGAAAAACGGCTCTTGCAGAAATGTCCATGATTTACATGAACATTAAAATATTCAGTGGCCACTATGAAATGACGAGAGCATTGTCACAATGGGACAGAATTTGCAGTAAATATGCAGTCATTTCTAGCAGAACTTAATAGCTTCGATTTGAGAAAACATTGCAAAAGAACGTCTAAAACACATGTTTATCCTGAAGAGCAGCCTGACACTGGCTCAGTTTTGTTGACAGAGATGTACTCAGTGCAATCACACACAAGCCTCACATCATCACATCTCCCAGCTCAGTTCCACCCCCCTCTGATGTGTTTGATTTGGCTAAGTAGTGACTCACTCTGTCTGTGTTCATTGTGCACTGGAAACATTATGCATTTCTTGATCTACATTTTGTTAGAATAAAACATGGCACCCTATTTCAAACATTATACTTATTTTCTGTAAAAATCTGAACACATTGTTTAAATGTGTATCATGGGAATGGTTAAATGTCAGTTAAATCACCATTTGACTTTGTTTTTCATAACAGGATTTTGGGCTTAACCCTTACTGTTTGAGACATACTGTAATTGTGCTGTGTTGCTTTGTCTCCAGAGCCTGATGGGTGCACTTTGTGTGTTTGTTCCAAAAATTTAATTCACTACAAATGCATTACAGGAGTCTGAAATTTATGGTTGCTTTTCCACAGGACTGTGGAATTATATTTGCTGCTTCTTGTCTAATGACATAAAAAGAGGTTCTACATCACAGCATTAAACAGATGAGTGTGAAGAGCTTAGCAATCAGTTGCTAAAGGGCAGTTTTGTTAGAAGAAAAACAATCCTTCTGTGGTTTGATAACAGGATTTAAATAGTCCCCCTGTGCACAATGTGGTGTTTTGAAAATGTGATTCAGACATACATCCAGACTTCAGCTACTGCATAGCGTTTATACTGTACATGTAGATATTAATACAGCACAAACAGATCAAACCAGACCAGAAGATTTCTACACATTATATTTGATAAGATGATGGCTTTAATGTGTTAAAAACATTTAAAGCTTGTATGTAAAAAAGAAGGGTTAAATAAAAGGACAACTGAACAATTCCAAATTCGGCTCAGTAGACACCAGCCAAGATTTGTGTTTTTCCTGGACTGACTGATGCCTCATATCCTGTTTTAATGACAATGTGACAAGTCACAAAAATACTCAAAAGTGCATGGCAGTGCTTCGAGCATGTAACATCCTGTTGTATCACATTAAATCTCTGTTTCTCTACATTGATTGTGCTAATAAATAAATAAAAAAAAGATTCTTTAAAAACACTTTTTGGACATAGCTTTACTTCATTCTGGACCAGATAAAGACTGTCTCCCTGGCCTCTGGCCCTAGACACACATTATCATGATAGCATAAAACAGACAAAATAAATAACATTAGATTCCAACATTATCCTCAACTACTGCCATTAATCTGAAAAGTGCAGTAGGTTACAAAAGTAAGATCTAGAACAAACACAAATAACTGACTCTCAACATACAAGTATGGTTTTATCTACACTTTGAAAGCCTATGGAGGCATTAAATTTATTCAGCTGTTTGACTGTTGTCACCTCCTCATCAGTGAATATCAGCAGCATCTAAACACCTCTAATTTTGTTCGGCTTACCCCTCCCCCCCATCACAATCTGTCACAAACGAATGTTCAGAATGTTTTTGAAGACCCGTTTAAAGTTCCCATTGCAGAGCGGGTATATGAAAGGGTTGAGAGTGGAGTTGATGTAACCTAGCCATATGGTGAACATGTGAAGGTCATGGTGCACACACTCTCTGCAGAATGCCATGACCATGAAAGCTATGAAGTACGGTATCCAACACAACAAGAAAGCAGCGATTATAAAGCCCAACTGCTTGGCTGCTTTGTGCTCTTTGTGGATCCTCAGACTTTGGATACGCTGACGTGATTGGTCAATAAACTTTTGCCACGTCTGTCTCAGAGTGAGTGGGTCCAATTTGGCATCTTCAACCCCTTCGTCAGCCCAGGGTGGAGCGCAACTGGGGTCGTAGTTGTTAAGGAGCGCAGATGTGTACCTCTGGACGGCTGAAACCTGACTGATATCACAGACACCGCTGACTGTGTTTGGTACTGTGACGTGACATTCATTTAAAGATGCTGGAAGTTTGTTCTCATTACTCCCCTCTGAGCAAAGTACGTCCTGTGGAACTGAGGGTCGACTCAGGGGAATTTCAGCGTCTGACTGCTTCTCCTCAGCGGACAGGGAGCACCTATTGGCCTTTCGTGCCATTCTGAATCGTTTTGTTGTCATGGCAAGCAATGACGCCTGCTGGCCTTTTACACCAATTTTTCTGTGAGAGCTAGAAGGAGCAGCTTTGGTTTTATTAGTATCTTCTAAGGAATATATCTGATCTAAAGTGTTCTGGTCCAGCAAGCGTTGTTTTTTAGAGAGTTTGATTAGAACCTCACACTCCCTCTTGGGTGATTTGGAGTCATTTTTCTCGAGAGTTTTAACATTTCGTCCGTTCTCATTTTCCCCAAAGGAATCGGTTGGATGGATGATTCTCTCTCTGTCTCTCAGATGTTGTCTCACAGCCAAGTAGATGTGTGTGTAAAACCACAGCATCAAAACTGAGGGTACATAGAAGTTGAAGACGGCAGTAATGACCTTAAACCACGTGACAAAGCGGAAATCTGTGTCACACTTGTTCTCCTCCTCAGGTTTAAGGTCGACATGTGTGAAAGACCTCCATCCTAAAATCGGAATAATCCACATCATCGACAGCAGCCAGGCTCCAGAAATCATCACACTGGCTTTTCCCCGTGTTCTATACTTTAGGTACTTTAGCGGTTGTCTGACGGAGCGGTACCGGTCCAAACACAGGATAAACAAGCTGAAAATTGAGGCTGTGCTTGCCACGTAGTCCATAATAAGCCAAAACTGACAGACAGCACGACCTAGCTTCCATTCATCCTCCAATAAATACACCAAGTTCAGGGGCATAACTGTGGTGCCTACAATCAGATCTGCCACCGACAGACTGACAATGTAGAGGTTCCCAACGGTGTGCAGGCTCTTCTCTCTCTTCACGGCGTAGAGAACGAGCAGGTTCATGATAATGGTGAGGAGAGAAAGGAGTCCCAGAAAGACTCCCAGCAGAGCGTTGTGGAAGCGGTCATGTAGGGTGACGGTGTGATTGCTCCTTGGTGAGTCACCATCAAGGAGCCCACTCCAGCTGGTGTTGCTGTTATTGACATAGCTGCTGGTGTTGAGGTGTAGGTCTGTGGAAGGTGACAGACCAGATTCCATCATGGTAGATGAGATGGCCACCTCTAGATCCACTCACATCGTGGAAAACTGTTGACCAATGTGTCTTTAAATGTAGGCCAAAACATGTTTGAACCAGTAGGTTTTAATCAGGCGAGGAAGGTGTATTTTAATCAGTTTGGATCCAACACATAAAGCATAACGACCATTGGAAAAAAGGCAATCCTTTAAATACTGGAAAAGGGATAATCAGTGCCGTGTTGATCTTTAGTCCATTTGCCACATAAATCCAAACAGTTAATACCTGGAAAACATAAAGAACATAGGTTACTGTTACAATTTGTCACAATTCTTTTCATTTTCTTCCTTAATTAAAGTTGTAAGAATTTTGTAACTGCTTTTTTTCTGTGGAAAAACAATTTCAGATGTCCTAGAACATGCTTGGAAAGGATCTCTAAGATAGCAGACTGATGAGAGATAAACAAACTAAAAAGTCGAGATGGAAGCACCTATTTAGAGAAACTTAAAGGCACTACGCGTAACATTCAGAAAACCCTTGTCATTAATGACGCCGGTGGCTGGTAGGTGAAGTGCAGTCAGAATCCTGTTTTGCTTGCACCTCATAGGGCGTCCTAGGCATTGGCCAAAACAGTGACGTGAGATACTGTGCCTGAGACTGAACGTGATTGACCAGCATCTTGATGAAAGATGAGGTAACTAAAGGTCCAATGTTCTTATAGTTTGACTATAAACTATATTTCAGACTATACGCTATATTTAACTCTGCAGCTCTGACACAGCGCTAAAACAAAGTACATTGATACAGATAAGAGTTTGATGACCTTATGTTATTGTGAACGTAATACTGTTATAAGCTTGCTGGCTAGCACAATATAGGCGAGTGACATTGTCGAACTAACCTGTTCTCATTGCATGATATATTGACTGCATTTTTATTGGTCGGCGCTGTAGCTAGCTAGCCAGCTTAATCAATCACTGTCTAGCTTTCAACAAGAGGCTCATCAATGTTAGCAGAGATACATTTGCTGGATGATGATGCTTTACATAGAAATCAGTCAGCAGGCACATACATATAAATTCTTTCACATTTCAAAAAGATGATAGGACATGTGAAGCGTTATTCAAGGTACTTTATGTAAATAACATACCTTTAAATAACACTTCACATGTCCTATCATCTTTTTACACTTTAGGTTTGGATGTACAATATTAGTAGGCTAAAATCTCTCTTGCTCTTTCTCTTTCACTGTCCAGCTGGCTTTCTTTAACACTCACATGAGTGGAAGGTGGCGAATCCCATCAACTACACAGCAGCAGACAAAGTGTGTGATTGGGAGAAAGGAGGTTGTCCTCGCTGCAAGAGTCTATTAAAAAAAGACCATGTTGCATCTACTATAGGTGAATTAACATCTATCTATCTATCTATCTATCTATCTATCTATCTATCTATCTATCTATCTATCTATCTATCTATCTATGTCTGCTTATTCACTGATGACACACACTCAGGAGGAGGAACTCCAAAAAAACCCACCAAGCTCAAGTGTTTTGTGCTTAGTGGGAAAAACCAAATCACTCACAGCGGTAATGGGGGCTGAAAGGTTTTTAGCAGAGCATCCTCAGAAAGTGACTCACTCCACCATACTTGTTTTGTAAAATGAGGCAATGCTGTAAGACTAAGGATTTCTTGATGCTCTCATGAGCCCCCGCCTTTACATCCCCTTGCCTGCACCTATTCAGTAAGTAAATAAATAAATGAATGAGCCAGAGAGCCTGAAAGTATTGGAAACAGTTAATGAACTATGGCATTACCCTGTGGATGCTGCATGATGGATGTTAAGTCTCCATCCAGAGGATTTATCAAAAGCCTTCCAGCTTTAGGGTACAAGTCAGTTGGAGACACTGGCAGCAGCATATTCCAAAAATAAGGCTTAAATTAGTGAAGTTTTTTTTTTATAATGGCATTTTTTTTTTTCCCAAAAATGTACAATTAAAGGAAATGTGAACTAATACCCACCTGTAAATGCAGTGTTGTATCTGGATGCTGTCTTTCATATCTTTAGTCTCACATAAGAAGCTTAATAGACACATCGATGATTTATCATTAGCTTTAATCTTCTTTGGCTTTTAATCTGTGCTGAAATGGGTGATTGTAAATATTTTTCTCGCTCTGTTTATAGCCTCTGTGTTTATACAGTAACTGCCTCCGCAACACAAATATTTAGGAATCTTATTACTCACCGAATTGTCAAAGAATAACAAAGTAAAAAAGAAAAGGGATGGATGACAGAAAAAAAGAAAATCTGTTGCGTATTTTCTGCTTATCGCACCAGAAAAGGACAGGACATTTATCCAACACTAATTGTTCAATATGATTAGGCTATCTGTAATGAACATTGCTTGTCTGATTAAATTATAAAAGAGCACAGAACAAAGATTAACCGTGCTATCTTTTGCCCCGTTGAGCCCTGATGGAGCCTATCTATCAAAATGAATGACTGTCATGCGAAATACTACAAGTCGGTGCGCAGAGAACCACCTGTTGAGCGGGATCACACATGAAAACTTTTAGGCTTTCAAAGGTTATGAACACCATCGTCAAATTTTTTTTCATTTTTTTTTTTCATTATTAAAAATGGCTTTTGTCAGTTGCCAGGAAAAAGTTTATCAGTGCAACAATCATTTTATTGTTCCCGGTAGGCGTCTGTCTAGCAGCCCTTGAAAGTGGAGATTTTCAACTTACCACTGCACTGAACATGAATTTCCAGGACAGTCCATTATTCCAGCTTGTGTTCCCGGTGCTAATCAGAAAACGAGTGAAGGATAGGAATTTAAATAAAGAAACAAGTCCACCTCCCGCCCCAACACCGATCCTTCTCCAGCACTGTGTCCCGCTCCCCCCTCCCTCTCAGGACTGAATACAGACTTCGGAGTCCACATGATTTCCCGCTGAACAAGTGCAGCCATAAAAAATTACCCTGTTTCCCGGAATGGGAGATTTCACCTGATGGAGTGCCGGATATTGATTCGCAGTGCCATGATTCAGTGTGCGGGATTCACTGTACAGTTGCACGCACACTATGAGCAAGGGAATCTTAACTTCTTGTATGTTATGTTATGTGGAAATCACTCATTAAAAAAGAGCAATTAAAGGTGGCTGAACACTAAGGTCTACAGTATCACACATTTGAATAACATCAAACTTTTATTCACAGCTGAGCCATTTTATGGTAATTCAGCATCAGAGAGAAGTGAGGGTGGGATCTGTTTGGATTACTGGTAAAGGAGACTATAGGGACCATGGTAACACCATGAATTCCTCCAATCACAACACACCAGCTGGAATGATGAAACTCAGCATACAACATGCCAAGCAGCATTACTGTTTCTCAAAAGTAGAGTCCCACGCTGTTGTCATATAGGACTCTAGCATAGGCTGGCTGCGCCAAGGTGCATAATCTATATTAAAGCATAAAAATGAATTGTGCTGCTGACCTGGTTTTAGCCGTCTCCAGCTATGTGGCTCACCAACTGTCTAAAGCAGCATGTTCACCAACACCAATATGGGTCTCACTGTTGCCGGTGTGTAGGTTTATATAGAAGGAAAGGATGACTGGGTGTATGCCATCAGTCTGTTTTGGACTTGGCTTTAAAAAAAAAAGTATATTTTGTGAGGTAGGAATCTGATACATTTCCTTAGGAAGAATCTTTGGAATTAGTCTACAACAAAAATAACAAAAACAGAAATGGCCCTTTAATGTGTCAAAGTAGCAGAGAAAGTGAAAGTTTGGATAAAGGGAGGGTTGCTGGACCTTATCACAACACTTTATGACAGTTGTTTCAAAGCTTTATTGCAACTAATCCAGGAATTCTTTTGTATTTTTTAAACTGTAAATAACTTAATTTCAATTGAAACACATGTTTATATAGTGTCCATTACTAACAGCCTGAACACAAACTACAATCTAATACGTCGCACTGGAGCTTCAAAGAAAGTCTCAAGTTGCTCCTCAAACTGTACAAACGTCCTCATCTGCCAAAAGCTAATATGTCAACTATTAGAGAACTGAACTGATAACACATCTGCCGACTGTAAACTCTGCTCTTCTGTTGGAACGGTGCCAGCACTGGAAGGATCTGGGTTGCACATCATAGGTTAGCACTGACAAAATGTTTGGTAACGTTCAGCACATCTCACAGCAGTGGTGTGATGAGGCTCCTAAAGATCCTGCCAGTGTCGTGATTCTGAGAGTTGGTCTGGACTTCATCTTGGACTTTTCTGGACCCATTGTGAAATGGCTATGTGGTCAAAGGGAAGTACGATGTGTGTGTGTGACTGCAGGCGGAAGTTCATGGGGTCAGAAAACTCAAGTGCTTTAATTCTTTTCTTTGCAAGTATTATGCATACAGGAAATACTGTAGCGTATGTTTATCATAAGGCAAACATCCATTTAGAAACTGAGAGGAGAGTCATGACAGTGTCATGAGCGGTAAAATCCAAAATCATGTTTATATTCCATGCTGCATGTGTCAGCTGTGTCACAATTTATTGGTCCGTATGCAGGGTCAAGAAATACAGACTTTGGAAAAGAAAAACTTTGGCCTAATGATGGTGCTACAAGTGGCTGTGTACAATGAATTTCATGCCATGGTTTTTGAAACCTGCTGGTCCTTGGCACAGGTTCTGGTTTATACTCAGGCAATTCTTATAGTTCTAAATTAAAAATGGCTGAAATTACTCACACAACCAATTCACAGCTACACAAAGTCACAAAATCAAACATACATACTAATCATTCATTCAACTTCATTAAGACTTACATGCTTATGAATAGGTCATCCTGGACTATTGCTCTTGTTATGTAGAATACATTCACCTATTTTTTTTAATCAGTCATTATTAGAGTAAGTTTAATGCAACACACCTTGATGTCTTTATAGTTTTTCAACCATTTGGACAATTTATGAGCCTTGGCCATTTCTCACAGTTTTTTTTAAATGTGTAAAAACCACTAAGAAGTATTTGCAAAGTAAATGGTGCAGAGCAATAAGGAAGCTGGGAGCAGCTGTGC